CCAGCTACTCGGGAGGCTGAGGCAGGAGGATCGCTTGAGCCCAGGAGTTCGAGGTTGCTGTGAGCTAGGCTGATGCCATGGCACTCTAGCCCGGGCAACAGAGAGAGACTCTGCCTCAAAAAAAAAAAAAAATCATTCAGAGAACTATTAACAAAAAGGAGTTCTTGGAAACAGGAGAAATGTAAAATTCAAGAGAAGTAGAAGTTAAAGAAGATCAAGAAGGACAAACAGGGAGACAAGGAAGATAGGTATGAAAAAATGAGCCTGGGAAGGCCAACATCCCAGAACAAGAGAAAAAATAAAAGGGGTTGGTGAAAACAATTTAAACAAGAAGTTTCCCAAAACTGAGACAAACAAGTTTCCTGTGTGATAAGTACCCATTATAACATATGAAAATAAACCCACATCAAGGGAAAATCACTGTGATTTCTGAATACTGAGGACAAAGATCTTAAAGATTAAGAAAGAAAAAACTGCACAGGACTTCACAACAGTGGTACTGAGAAGTAAAAGACAACAGAGCAGCCAGGAGCAGTGGCTCATACCTGTAATCCTAACATTTTGGGAGGCCAAGTCCAGAGGATCGCTTGAGGCCAGGAGTCTAAGACTAGCCTAAGAAACACAGCAAGACACCACCCCACACTCACACACATCCCTGCCCCCAACTCCACAGAAAAAGGAAAATAAGCCGGGAGTAGTGGCACATGTCTGTAGTCCCAGCTACTCAGGAGGCTGAGGCAGGAGGATCGCTTAAGCCCAGGAGTTGAAGACCAGCCTAGGCAACATAGTAAGACAAATCTCTGCAAAAAATAAGAAAAATTAGCCAGGCATGGTGGCATGTACCTGTAGTCCCAGCTACTGGACTGGAAACAAAGGCCTTTTCAAACAGGTCAGGTCTTACTGTCATGTGTCTCTTCTTAGGAAGCTACTGGAGGATATAATCTAAGAAATGAGGGAATAAACCAAGAAACAGGAAGGCGTGAAATCCAGGGAACGGGGAATCCAACAAAAGAGAGAGGCAGCGCTAATCCCCAGGATAGTAAAAGAATATCCTAGGGTGACAGAGGCATAGTAGATACTGTAAATAAAACAAGCAGACCAGATGGAAGAAACAAGCAGACCAGAGGGAAGGCTCTGGGAAAGAAGACTCTGAGAAGATAAAGTAGATAAAATATATTTGAATGTATTAAAAGATTTATACCTGAAGATTATACCTAGAAAGGGTATGCATAGGGATAGTAAGAAAAAGAATCTTCATTTTCCAAAGTGAGAAAATGAATTGATAGATGATGCCTAAAACGGCAAAGTCAAGAATAGCAACATTATTCAGAGATACAGAAGTAAATACCAAAAGAAATGGCTTTTAACAGAGCTGAAGATGGGAAAGAAGATTGGAGCAAGCCATTTGCAACTATTTCCATATATAACTTTTTTTTTTTCCTTTTTGGAGATAGGATCTCACTCTGTCACTCGGGCTGTTGTGCAGTGGCATCATCATAGCTCACTGCAACCTCCAACTCCTGGGCTCAAGGGATCCTCCTGCTCAGTGCCCCAAGAAGCTGGGACTACATGCACGTGCTACCACGCCTGGCTAATTTTTCTTATCTTTTGTAGAGATTTGTCTGTGTTGCCCAGGCTGGTCTTGAACTCCTGGGCTTAAGCAATCCTCCTGCCTCAGCCTCACAAAGTACTGGGATTACAGGCGTGAGACACCATGCCTAGCCTGCATGTGTAACTTTTATAAAACAAAAATATTAGAAGGAATACAACAAAATGTTAACAGCGATTGTTTTTGGGAGGTGAAGTATGCGTGAGTTACGATTTCTTTTTCTATGTTTTTCCCATTTTCTACAATGATCATGTATTTCTAAAACTCTTATGATCTGGAAAAAATGAGATTTTTTTTGAGAAGAGATTACTCTGGATTTTGTAAAGAAGAATGGTTCCTGTACCAGATCTTGGAGAAGAGCACGCCTCTGAAAGTCACGGGATAGCCAAGGCTGTCTGTCGGATGTCAGGTGGGCTATGATACCTGCAGCAAAATAGCTCACTTCCATTTCTTTGCTGTGGAGTAAACTGCGGATACGCTTCATCATGTCTTCACTCACAAGCCTGGAAGACAGCTCTTTGACTTCTGCTATGTTGTTCTACAGGTCAGATGGAGCAGGGAACATCAGGGACAGGGACAAGAAGGGATGAGAGAATCAGTAACTGGCTTCTCCTCTCTTTCCACTGTTCAGTACAGAAACATTCAGAACACTTAGTCTCGTCCCCCTCCATCTGAGTTTAGCCCAATACCCACATTCTCATCCCTTGATGATGAGGATGATCATTAATAACAAATTACTGAATAAGCACTTACTAAGTGCCAGGCACAGTCCTTGATACATAAAAATGTCTTTATCTGCCTTATCTCATTTAATCTTTAAAAAATTCTATGAAGAAACTTGATACTCAGCAAGACTAATTTGTCAGGTTCACACTAATAAGTGGTTAAACTAAAATACACATCCAGGCCTAACTCAAACACTTAACATTACTGAGGGCCTACTAAATGTTTCATTATCTTGAAGTTTTAACAATTACACTGAAAGACAGGTAGTATTTTATACATTGCATTACTTTTCTATGCTGTGTAACAAATTACCACAAACTTAGTGGCTTAAAACAATATGTATTTATTATCTCACAGTTTCTGAGGATAAGGAGTCTAGGCATGACTTAACTAGATCCTCTATTCTTAGATCTCACAATCAAAGTGTTGGATGGGCTGCATTCTCATCTGGGGGCCCCAATGAGGAAGAATCTACTTCCAAGCTAGCTCAGACTGTTAGCAGAATTCATTTTCTGGATCAGCAGGACTGAGTGATTCAGTTTCTTCGTAGAGGCCACCCTCAGCCTAGAAGCTGCCCAAAGTTCCTTGAAATGTGGGCTTCTCACTGCTCCAACAATTTACTTCATGACGGTTTACTCCTTCAGAGCCAGCGTGTCTGCCAGCGCACACACAGATATGGTAACATAATCATGGGGGTGATTTTCTATTGTCCTTGCCATGTTCTCGATGTTAGAAGTAAAAGGTCCTGCCCACACTTGAGGGGAAGGGATTACGTAAAGATGTAAATGCCAGGGCCGGCACGGTGGCTCACGCCTGTAATCCTAGCTCTCTGGGAGGCCAAGGCAGGCGGATTGTTTGAGCTCAGGAGTTCGAAACCAGCCTGAGCAAGAGCGAGACCCCATCTCTACTAAAATTAGAAAGAAATTAATCGGCCAACTAAAAATATATAGAAAAAATTAGCCGGGCATGGTGGCACATGCCTGTAGTCCCAGCTACTCGGGAGGCTGAGGCAGGAGGATCGCTTGAGCCCAGGAGTTTGAGGTTGCTGTGGGCTGGGATGACGCCATGGCATTCTAGCCCAGGCAACACAGTGAGACTCTGTCTCAAAAAAAAAAAAAAAAAAAAAAAAAAAAAAGCTGTAGGACAACATGCACAGATAGATATATAGGGAGAGATAGACAGACAGATAACAAGCATACACCAAATACAGCATGGGTATAGAAAAGTATTGGAAGGATAGCTGTCAAATTATTAACAGTGCTTGCCTATAGGGAACAGGAATGGGAACAAACTTGCACTGTCTATACTGCTTGATATTCACCCCAAATATATGACTCATTCTGTAGCACTTTTTAACTAAAACAACTTTCTAGTTTCTTTTTAATTTCTTTTTAAAATCAGTTAAATTCAGAAAACACAGGTGAATAATTTTTTGAAAATCCATCTTGAATGTGTTCCTTACACAGAAAAATAGCTAGAAAACTATTAGGTTTTGAATACATACGGTTTTTACTGCAGACATGATACATAGCCCATAGTGCCCAGAGCTGAACCTCTGGTTGAGAGAAGTTGCCAAGGAGCGGGAAAAATGCCTTGAAAGATCTAAAAAAGTACAAAGATGTTATTTTAGGACTCTGGCCAATGTTCAGGGATATAATGATAATTTTCAACATTTCCCCAGAGGGTTTGGGAAAATGGTTTAAAATAGAAGGCAAACACAAGAGAACAGAGCAGATGGAGAAGGGGTAACTGACTTAGTAGATGTCGCTGATGCAGATGTATTTACTAAGGGACCGTGTTCTGTGTTAGACACCATACATTCAACATCTCATTTCATCCTAAATCTTATATACACTGTCAGCCTCGTTTTACAGATGAGGAAAACCGAGCGTCACAGATTTTCTAGAAATGATTTTCCCAGTGTCACAGAGAAATAGGAATTGAACACAAGGCTAATTGACTCTAATACTTTATCACTGAGTATACTGAGGACAAGCTTTAAGAAATGCACATGATCATCATGAAATTACCTGTAGGTCACCAAAGCTGTCATCTTACAACTTGAACTTGGCCAATTCTGGATGGTTGCATGCTAACCAAAAAAAAAAAAAAAGAGAGAGAGAGGAACCACTATTCTAAAATTGTATTTCATCATTTTACAGAGGTCATAACAAACGATTTCATGTTATTTATAATTATTAATACACATATTTTAAAACAAAAGTCTTCAAAATGAGAAGAAACAAATTTAGACATACCTACTTAACAAAATACCAATCAGATAATCATTACATATGTGGAATATATGAAGCAAGTCATGTGGGGAAAAATGCAATAAAAAGGAGCATCTGTTTAAAGATAGTGGACTGAGCATGCATTTACCTCTACTCTTTCCTTAAATCCCATTAATATTAATAGTAAAAATGGCTTAAAATAAAAGGCAACACAAGAAAACAAAACGGATGGAGAAATGGCAACTGATCTGATACAGCACTGGGAAAGGTTAAAAAACAAACCAATTTAAACAGAACCCCTAAGAGACTTAAAATTTGGCACACAACTACTTCCCCAAGTGAAATTAGAGGTGGTGTTGAAAACAGGATTTGTGAAAAGAACCAAGGGATTAAGATTTCCAGATCTCCTCTCTCACCTCTAATAAAAATGGACTAGGCAAACCCATGAACAATTAAGGGTGGAAGCAACATGCTAAAAACAGGGGATTGAAGTGAAAATCTAAATAATAAAATTTGAGAATTCCCTGGCCCAAACTCTCTTCCTTTACTGAGCTTTCAGAGTGCTGGCAACCAAGGTTATAGTTTTATGCAAGAGAAGAGAAGATACTTCTCTAGGTAAGTTCCAACCAGTTTAGAACAAAAGATCTAAAGAGACACTGACATCGAGGAACACCTAATCCAGATCACTCTATGGTGAAGCTCACAGTTGACAAGTTCTACCCATTTGCAGTTTTCAAACAGTCCCACTCTTGATGTTAATGGACAGCTGAGGATCACCATACACTTTAAGAAAATCTCTAACATAAAGGAACAAAACAAAGAGGGGAAAAAAAGCAACCTGTAGCAAACAGAATTTCGAGGAAGAGGAAAATTTTTAAAAATTAAATTAATTATCATTAATACCCCTAAAGAGAAGAGAAAATAGATATAGCAACTATGAAATAGGAATAGGATATCGTATTTTTTTTAAAAAATCGACCGGGCGCAGTGGCTCATGCCTGTAATCCTAGCACTCTGGGAGGCCGAGGCAGGTGGACTGTCTGAGCTCAGGAGTTCGAGACCAGCCTGAGCAAGAGCGAGACCCTGTCTCTACTAAAAATAAACAGAAATTAGCTGGACAACTAAAAATATATAGAAAAAATTAGCCAGGCATGGTGGCGCATGCCTGTAGT